CTGTGTACCGGTACGCAGTACCGATACTGTACCGGAAAAATTGATTAGGTACAGGTCCAAAATACCTAATCCCTCAGTACCGGTACTGTACCTAAACAATTTCACACCAATTTTATGCCTATTTGTGACCTCAAATGTGTAAATAGCTGGTTAACAATGGGTCCCTGTGTAAGGACAGTGTGTTCATGAAAACAAAAACATCTTTGCCTATATTTTATCTGAGCATTCGCCATAAACAAAGAATAAACCTTAACTATCAAGTTTATTTATGTTTTTTTTTGTCATTGAAGGAGTTCAGAAGAGCATATAAATTGGTCGAATTGTTCAGGTACAGGTTCAGGTCCGGACCAATTTTAGTTGTCCCAGCCTAAATTTTAAGTGGTCAGGGGCCATTGGACCACCTTTAATTTCGAGCCCTGTAGGGTGGGACAAAAACAGATTACTAGTACTTTGATATAATATGTTGTACATGTACATGTAAATCTCACCATGTGTCTCTAAGTCATACCCTAGGGCAATCTATTGATAGACACAGTTGTAGAAAAATACAGACTGTTTCCTGCACAGTAACAATAGTCAAACTAACTAAATCCTTCCGCCAAATGTTATTAGATTATTCGTATGATGTAGTGATCTAACTCTATGAATTAGAACGTACAGTAAGTACGTGGTCTTAAATCTGAGGGGTCGTGTGGCGCAGTGGCAGAGTGCTCGACTCAGAACCAAGAGGTCCCGGGTTCGGGTCCCGAGTCTTGTGCCCTTGGGAAAGGCACTTACACGACTTTCCTCACTCAACTCAAGTGAAAATGACTATTGTCCTGTCCTGTATTTGTACTCATAAAATAAGTTGCTATAACTTGAGTGTGCCGTCGCCACGTTTGGTCATGAAATGTTGGCATAAAAAAAATCTAGACGTATGAACCTAATAATGTAAAAATCGCGAACGAAACATACAGTTTTCCGAACAAGCGAATAAATACTACTCCTTCAAGATAATTCAAGTCCATGGCAAGTGAAAACTTGTAAAATCCGTCACGTATCTTGTAAACGTAGCTTAGTGATAAATCAGACAAAACAAGGACGATCTTATTGTTCTACATGCATTCCAACAATGTTTCTCAGGGTTACAACCTATAAAACAGTCGAGGCCGTTCTCACGGGTGTACCATAGGCTTTTCACAGACTTCACCAACGCTTTCGCAAGAAATCCATTAGCAAAAACATTCAAAATGCGAGAAAGAAAAGCACGTACTTACCTGTAATAATGTCGCTCAACAATGTGTGAAGAAAAATGACACAACACACCCTGTTACGTGTTGGGTGTGATATCTTGTGACTTACTTGTGGTGTCTTCATAGGTCAACGACCAAAACTAGACAGACCAGTCAGAGGTGTGACGTCTGGAATCAGTCATAGGTTAAAGGCCGTTGTTGTAATTATATGTGGCTGATTCAAGGACACAAGTGACAGGTCGAGGTTGTTTACTTTTAACAATTCACCAGTTTCCCATCCCCAGAATGCAATGCGAAAACAGGGGGTCTAAACTAATTTGCATAGGACCGGAAGGCATCGGAATGATCCTGTTAACGTTAAACAGCTTGTTTTTCACTGTGTTTTGAGGTGTTGGGGCATTTTATGCTCAACGTTAACTAAATTACTATGGGTTGAATCTGACAACAAATAGAGAATGAGTTTTTTTTAATATGTGGTTTGTAACGTATAGCGGTAACGCTATATGATGCTGTAACGTT